AGATATTATAGAAAATTGCAAAATACTGAAGATATTGTAAAAGCAGTCAGAGACAAAAGACCAGGATCCTGGCATCACGAGACCCTGGGTTCAATCCCCAGCACTACAAAGATAAGTAAATAAATAAAAATAAAAACAGCACCCTCAGCAGAGCCATCTTGCTTCTTAGCCAGAGTGCACCAGTATCCTGGCAATAAGTCTCCCACTAGCAATAGCAGAAGGCAAAATATCTTGAAAGTGCTGAAAGAAACACATCAACCTAAAATAATGCTGTCAGCAAAAATGGAGAAAGTTTACAGAGCAATAGGACCGCACCCGGGGAACTTCTGAAGGATGCGCTTCAGGAAGAGGGGAGCAATCCCAACAGGCAGCAGGATGGGAGAAGGAACAGAGGGCAGACAAACTGGTAAACAGTCTGTCATAATCACTGACTCCGTCTACATTCTAGGCTCTAACGAAGGGGTGGCTCAAATACTGGACCATAGCAGCAAGTAGCTTGGGAAGGGGTGAACAGAGTTGATACTCAAACATCCTGGTATTTTTCAGTGGGGAGCATGATTAAAATAAAAGAAAATGAATAAAAACCAGTAACCAAAATAGTAGAAGAGTACTAATCAAATTAGGGGAAACTCAATTTTTTAAACAGCAAGTGGAAAAAAAAATGAGTCGAAAAGAAAGACAAGTGCTGGGTGTGGTGGCAAACGTCTCTAATCCCAGTGACTCAGGAGGCTGAGGCAGGAGCATCACAAATTCAAGGCCAGCCTCAGCAACTTAGCAAGGGCCTATCTCAATAAAAAGGGCAATAATTACATTGTATATAAGTGAACCAAATCATCATTTCAGAGACATTATAAAATTTAATTTGAAAATAAAAACTAGAAGCTGTCTATGTGAGACATTTAAAACATGACACAAAAAGTTCAAAAGGAAGGAAAGTACGCTATGCAAAAGCCAGAAGAAAGCTAATGTAGCAAGAAAAATAATAAATTGCCAAGAAAGTAATATTAGGTTCGGTCTCATATATGAGAGGGTATTTGTATATATATTTGTGTATTATGCACACACAAATGTATGTATAAAATTATACTAATTAAAATAACAGGAAAATAATAGAGGGGAGATCTGTACAGTAGAGCAAGCAGGTGAGGGGAGAGAAGAAGGAAGGGAAAGGAGAGAAGTAGGAGGGAATGAGTTTGATCAAATTATGTACATGCTGATTATGGCATAGTGAATTGGGCACCAGTTTTTAAAAATGTTTGTAATAAATTGTCTGCTTATGTGAAAGGATGAGATTTCTCTCTGACTTTACCTTTTTTCTTTTTTTTAGCAGATTGATTGTTATGCACATCACATTCTGGTTTGATGCTTAGGCAATAATAAAACTTTTTTTGAAGTAATATTAGTGATATAGAAAGCTACTTCAAAATTATAATGGCTTTAACTTAATAGAGAACAGTAACAATTCTAAATCAGAATATACCTAAGAAAATAACTTAAAACATAAAGCGAAATTGAGAGAGACAAATTGACTATTCCACGTTCATAGTGGGAGCTCCCAACATGCCCTTCCCAATTATTAGTAGGTCAAACAGACAAAAATATCAGAAAAAATGCTTTGCCAGGCACAGTGGCAAATGTCTGTAATCCCAGCAGTTCAGGAGGCTGAGGGAGGAGAATCATAAGTTCAAGGCCAGTCTCAGCAATTTAGAGAGACCTAAGCAACTTAGTGAGACCCTCTCTCTATATAAAAAGAACTGGCAGAGCATCCCTGGGTTCAACTCACAGCACAAAAAAAAGAAAACAAGATTTGAACACTATGAGATACCAGGCACAGAGGTAGGCCACCTGGAGTCTAGCTACTTGGGGGGAGGATCCACATCTGAAGATACCAAGGATATTTTATCAGACAGATGTAGGCTCCTATGTCCATCAATTAGAAAAAACACACTTTCTTCCCCAGCACACATCTGAACAGTTGGTCATGGATTGCTTCATAAATCAAATCTCAATATTAATTTTAAAAAATCAGAATTTTACAGAACAGTTTCTCTGGCCACAATAAAGAAGTCCAAAGTAAGAAAATATTTTTAAAATCTATAGTAAATTAGGGTTACACAGCGACTATAACATCCCCACATTTTATTACATTAAACTATTAGGCTTTTTTGTTTACGTAATAGTCCTGTGTGGTTCTCCTGGCTCCTCCCCCAGTGTGGCTCCTCTGTCCTCTTCGGGCCTCACCGTCTTCCCTATTCAACTATTCAGTCTTTCTAATCCCTTATTGTTGATTTTTATGTTATTATAACCTTATACTTAATGTCAATCCAGTTTTAAAAATGTATAGTTCAACTTATTCACACTATTTATTCCTTTATAAAAGGCAAGATTTCAAGTAGGCTTCATGCATAATATAGAGGGTAATATTTTCTACAATCCTTGGTTCCTGAAATAAGACTCATCAGACACGTTTTCAGCTGTCCAAATGGGCATGAAGGATAGAATCTTTCTGCATGCTGAGGTCCCCACTTAGGGGTAGGCATTCATCCTCATAAGGCAGTATGATTCCACTGTCTGAGCTCGCCTGAGGCTGTGTGCCTCCTGAAGTGCCACAGAGTTTTTGGGTTAGTGAATATATGCCGGATATTTACTGTTGATTTTAATAACATGTTTTAAATTCTTTTCCATTTCTTTTCTTTTTTTTTTTTTAAAGAGAGAGTGAGAGAGAAAGAGAGAGGGGGAGAGAGAGATTTTTTTTAATATTTATTTTTTAGTTATAGGTGGACACAACATCTTTGTTTGTATGTGGTGCTGAGGATCCGGGCTGTACGCATGCCAGGCGAGCGCGATACTGCTTGAGCCACATCCTCAGCCCCTCTTTTCCATTTCATCGGAAGTTTTTAACCATTTTGACATATATTGACATAATATTCATCTGAGCTAAATCTGTAATTTTGTCCTTTTTGGCCGCAGTCATCCTTCATCTTAAGCCTTTCTGATATTTTTTCTCTTTTATTTTTAAATTTTGATTTTATCTTTATTATCAGTTTTCTGTTTCTCATACAAATCTTATTAAGTTGTCTTGCAAAACTAGATTAAGGAAAATTATATAAAGCCTGTTTTCTGTGCCAACCAAATGAATCTGTACCTTACTTACAGTTAGAAAATTATATTCTACAAACATAGTTGCTCTATTGTTTTACATTTTCTAATTTTCTTGCCTCTCTGCTAGTCAAGGACTTTCTGTCGAAGGGGTAGACTTCCTAACTCTTCTTACATGGAAAAGGGTGTGTGTGGAATATGCTGGCTCAGGTGATTGGGGAGCCAAGCGTGGCGGGTGCAGATGTGCAGGGATGCAGTCGGGAATCTCAGTCGTGCTTTCCTCTGGGTTGGCTTCATCCTCAGGCAGCTTCCCCCTGTGTAGTGGCACGATGGCCACCATCCAGTCTTCTCCCTTGAAAGCCTAGCAGCCCCAGCAGAAAAAGTATCCAGCCCCAAGGAATCTAGGGCAAGTCCCAGAATTGGCTATTTCAGCCTATGGTCAGCCCCATGACCATTCACTATGGCAGGTAGGGGGCAGCACTGTCCACTCCAGTCCTACCTTGGGCCGGAATGAGGGAGAGCTGAGTCCCCACTGAGAGGGGTATTTGAGTATGTGAAAGAGAGAATGAGGTAAGGGGTAGGGCACAGGTAAATGCTGGGATTAATGTTAATAGAAAAGAGATGCTGGACAGGCAAGAACACCTAGTGCCCCAGGGTGTCGGTAAATCTTGAATTGGTTCCATAAAAGAGCAAAGCCTGGTGGTTCCATCAAGAGGTTAGGAAAGTGAATGGTAATGGAAGTATTGAAAGGTCATAGGAGGGAATACTGGGCAGGGGCATAGTGAAAATTTCCTTTCTACCTGAAGTAGTTCCTTGATCCACAAGGTGGTGAGTATAAATCATCTCCAGGCTCTACCTTGTGTTTTATGTTCTGCCAACTGAAATTTCACCTTGAAAGAGATACACTTTTCACTAGGTACTGTATTTCCAGTAGTAACTATAGCCACTATTCACATGCAGCTCTTTAAATTAAGTATAGCCAGGCATGATTGTGTACACATGTAATCCTGGCAACTCAGGAGACTGAGTTCGAGGCTAGCCTGGGCAACTTAGCAAGACCCTGTCTCAAATCAAAAAAGAGAAGGATTGAAGATGTAGCTTAGTGGTAGAGCACCCTTGGGTTCAAGCCTTAATATTAGGAAAACAATTAAATAGACATTAATTAAAATTAAATAAATTTAAAGATTCCATTTCTCACCCATACTAGCCATATTTCAAGTGCTCAATAGCCACGTGTGACTATGGGATTGAACAGCTCAGAAATGGAGCATTTGTATCATTACAGAAAGTTGTACTGAAGAGCCCTGGCTTGGAACAGTAACTTGTTACCAGCAATTTATTAGTGTCTTTTTTTTAGTTGTAGTTAGACACAATACCTTTTTTGAATTTTATTATTTTTGTAATGTGGTGCTGAGGATCGAACCCAGGGCCTTGCAGGTGCTAGGCGAGTGCTCTACCACTGAGCCACAGCCCAGCCCTTTATTAGTGTCTTTTTAGAGACAGTTACTCTAAGACAATTGGCAAGAAATCTGAGTTGTGACAGAGGCCCACCCCACAGCCTGACGAGGCACCCCACGGCCCTCTTTCACTTTGCCAAAGGTCTTGACCTCCTTCAGACTTTGCTCAGGGTCTGCAGGTGGGACAGCCGCTGCCACCACAGCGGGAGCCCTGGTTGTCCTTTTGGACCCAGCCCTGAAGGGCAGGCTGGGATGTGACCAGGGAACACCTAAGGGCATCGGCTCAAGAGCAGGGCACCCTGAGAGGAGGCTGGTGGCATTCAGTGCTCGCCCCCAGCAGGTCTCTAAATGACCGCCCTTGTCACACACACCATCATCTCTCAGTGCTACATAACATTCACAAAACTGATGTTTTTTTCCTGGTTTTTTTTTCCCCTTCCATAGACCTATTCCCCTGTGTTCTGTTGTTGTGATAGACAGCCAACTTGATAAAGTCGAAGGAAGGAAACTGTTTGTTTCCTGTAATGTTCGAAGTGTTGATGAGAAGACCTTACACTCCGAGGCATCAGGTAAGAAGGGTGGGGTCGGGTTCTGTTTTGGCTTTGTTGGATTTGATTAATTCTCTCGTTCACACAACAAATTAAAGGGTTTTTTGGGTTTTTTTGGGGTTTTTTGGTTTGTTTTTTGGTACTAGGGATTGAACCTAGGAGTGCTTAACCACTGAGCCACATCCCCAACCCTTTTAAAAATGTTTTATTTAGGGGCTGGGGCTGTAGCTCAGTGGTAAAGCCCTTGCCTCGTATGTGTGAGGCACTGGGTTCAACCCTCAGCACCACATTAAAAAAAAAAAAATACTATGTGCTCATCTACAACTCTAAATATTTTAAAAATATATATTTTATCTAGAGACAGGATCTCACCGAGTTGCTTAGAGCCTTTCTAAGTTGCTGAGGCTGGCTTTGAACTTGTGATCCTCCTGCCTCAGCCTCCCAGGCACTGGGATTACAGGCATGAGCCACCACACCTGGCTTGAAGGTGTTCTTATACATTGCTGATAAGAGGCTATTTGCCAATATCCATCAGAATTACAAAGTTATGTGCCCTTTGGCCCACTTCCAGTATTTTATCTCACAACTATGCTAACATGTGAGCAAAATTATAATGTCTTAGGCTGCCCTCTAGTTCCAGTATTTGTTACATTCCAACATTACTTGCAAATAGCAAAAAGTTGGCAAAACATTAGGCATCCCTCAATAGGGGACTGGTTGAAGAACTACGTTTCATCCCTAAACTATATTGAGTCTGAACCATAAGAAATATTGTGAGGAACACTGTTGTAAGAATAAGGAAACTCTAGGGCACCTGCCTGTAATCCCAGCTACTCAGGAGGCTGAGGCAGGGGGATCACAACTGCTGTCAGCCTCAGCAATTTAGAGCAATCTTCAACAGCTTAGTGAGGCTTGGTCTCAAAATACAAAATTAAAAGGACTGGGAATGTAGCTCAGTGGTAGAGCACTCCTGGGTTCAATCTCTAGTACCACAAAAAATAATAATAGTAGGGAAATTCTTGATATGGAGCTATCATATATTAAATGAAAAACAGTAAACACAGTATCTTTTCACTAATAAAGAAAAGAAGTAGAGAAGTTCTTCTCATTGCTTCCCCTTTTCTTTCACTTTCCCTCATACTTTCCTTCCTTCCTGATTAATTTATTCCAAGAACCCTTAAGTAGAGTTGGGCATGAGTGCCTCAGAGACCAGAGCAGTTCAGGGAAGCGTCCCTTGGAGAGTGGCATGGGTGTCCGAGCCCATGAGCAGTGCAGACGGCATCTGTATGAGAGCCAGTTCCTACTCTCAAGGAAGAGTCCAGGCATGGAAAAAGAGAACAGGATGAATCTTGTGGTTACTTGAGACTGGACATGTATTTTCCCAATTTTTGCTCTTGCAAATAGTATTGTAACAAATAACTTTATATATTTGTCATTTTATACACATTTTGCCAGATTACTCTCCAGTGGTTTGAGGGCGAATACATGTTTGTACTATTCTCACAATTTTTCTGTAATCTTGAAATTCTTTCAAAATAGGAAGTAATAAATGGAAAGGAGGGGAAGTATGCATATCCTGCATTTGCAAGGACTATCTCACCAAGGCTAAACACATGACTTTTTCTTACTTGAAGGGGACAGTAGATTGGGAAGAAGATTCCTCTGTCTGCCCTTTTGTACCTTTTTTCCTCCCAGGAGTGGGGTTGGAACCCAGGGCCTCAAGCATGCCAGGCAGGCACTCTGTCACTGAGCTATATCCCCTGATCTTTTTTTTATTTTCAGACAGGGTCTCTAAGAGGCCTAGGCTGGCCTCAGACTTGCCGTCCTCCTGCCTCAGTCTCCAAACAGCTAGGATTACATCTTTTTTTTTTTTTTTAATTTTTGGCCCTATGAAAGAAGTTATGTGCATGGATTACCAAAAAGAGGAGCTATGTTTTACAAGGTTCAAAGCTCATGCAACTTAAGGAAAAAGAATTCAAAATTAGGTATAAAAGTAAAATTTTATTTACAAGGAGAAATAAATAAATCCCAAAGTATTACTTTCATCTTAGAGGTGCAGGACCCTTCCTGCTGAGATATCTGTAGGCATTTTGTTAGAAATCTCATGGAGAAATGTTTCCTGATGGCATCCTTAAAGCACTGCACAACTCCTAGCTCAACCAGGGCCTTTTGCAAATGAGGGCCGATGAAGCTTTACCTTCCTTAGCATCAGACTTGGACAGGCTAGATAGCCAGTGGTTTTCACTTGTTTTTACTCTTCCTTTATTTTAGTGTACCTCAAATATACATCTTTAGATTAGTCATAATCCATGAGTTAGTACACGGAGTTGTCACTGGTTCATGAGTGGTCACCTTTTATTTATTGATTTCCTAATATACTTCTGTGTTAAATTTAATAAAAAATGAAACGCCCTGGGTCCATCAAACAGGAACAAGCTGGGCACGGTGGAGCACACCTATGATCCCAACAGCTTGGGAGGCTGAGGCAGGGGGATTGTCAGTTCAAAGCCAGCCTCAGCAAAGGCAAGGTACTAAGCAACTCAATGAGACCCTGTCTCTAAAAAAAATAAAAATAGGGCTGGGGGTGTGGCTTAATGGTTGAGTGCCCCTGAGTTTAATCCTTGGTCCCCCAACCTCAAAAAAAAAAAAAAAAAAGAAGAAACAAAACAGGAACAGACTCTTAAATAATATTTTGTCCCTACCTAATTTCTGTTTCCTTCTCCTCCTCTTACTTCAACGTAACTCTGATCTAGAATTTTGAGTTTTTTATTCTCTTGTACCATTTTGTTTTTATTTTAAAAAATTGTATCCAAGAACTTGTTTATCAAGTTTTAAAAATTTTTATCAAGAATTTGATAAGGAGGCTAGTCACCGTGGTAGATGCCTGTGATACCAGCAGGTCTAGAGGCTGACGCAGGAGGATCGCAAGTTCAAAGCCAGCCTCAGCAACTTAGCAAGGCTCTAAGCAACTCAGCGAGACCCTGTCTCTAAACAAAATACTTTTTAAACAGGACTTGGGGTATGCTCAGTGGTTTAGCAGCCCCTGGGTCCAATCCCTGGTATTAAAAAAAAAAAAAAAAAAGATGTGAGGAATGTACTGTTTCACTGTTTGATTTTGAACTTTGTAGAAGAAATTGTGATGTTTCTGCTTTTCTGAGACTTTTGTTTTTCTCTGAGCTGTATGTCACTGAGGTTCATCCATGTTGTTGGCTATGAAGATCCTCATTTTTGCTGCTGAATAATTTTCCATATATGACTAGGCCACAGTGAATTTAACTGTGGGCCTCTTAACAATTTGAATGGGCTACTGCAAACACATACTTAAGAGTAGAATCTCTGCTTGTAGGGTGTGAATGTTCAGCCTTACAACAGAATGCCAACTTGTTTCCTAAAACTGTCAAACTGGACTCCCACCAGCAATGTATTCTTGAGATCCCTATCCTCTCTAGCAGATGGAGAAGTAAGACTTCTTGATCTTTGCCAATTAAATGGCTATAACATATCTCAGCGTGGTCTTCCTAAGATGTTCCTATATGGCATTATAGGCATAGATGATAGTTGAGTTCACCTGACGTGATCATACCTGCATGGGCTGTAGAGGGCTCCCCTTCAACCCCCAGCACTTTCTCCTTCCCTCCCTTCCCTCCCTCTCAGCGTGATCTGGATTTGCAGTTCCCTGATTACCCAGTAGGGTTGAGTGTCTCCCCATGTTTATTGACCATTTTTTGTTTCCCATTCTGTAAATTTGTTTGCTCAGCTTCTTTTTCTATTTTTTCATTTTCCTATTTATAGGAGTCCTCTATATATTTCATATTAGATAATACTTTTGATGAATATATATGTTGCTCATACCTCCTTCTTGTATGTAAGGTTGTTTTGCTTTTTTTATTTAAGATATCTTTTTACAGACAGGAGTTTTTAATGTTAATGTAGTCTCATTTATTAGATTTTTCCACTGATGGTTGATGCTTTTTATATCTTCACAAATTCATTTTCTCCCTAAGTATCAGCTGTTTGCAGGAATGATGGATGAAAGGAGCAGGAGGGAGATCGTGAATAATTTGAATCCTCCGTCAATTTATAACTCCGTTCCAGGCTGTAGCTTGTAATTCCTGTCTTGCTAAACCTTTCCATATCATAAAGGTACCAGATGGCTCAGTAGTAATTTTACTTCTTTTCATTTCCCTGGCTATCTCTAATGGAAGTGGTAATGAACCATGAAATAGCCAAGAAGCAGAGGACCTGGCTATCCGGGGGAGTCATATAGTATTGTGGCAGTCAGAGGTTGATTCTGAGCCTGGCTGAGAAGTGAGAATGGGCAAACAGACTGAAGGGACAAATGGGAATCTGACCGCCTCCCTCCTGTGCGCCTTTCTGTTTAGAGGTAGGCTCATCAAACTGAAGTCAGTTGACTTACGGCTGTTTCTGCTGTTTTGTTGGTTTAGCCTTATTTATAAAGCTGGATCCTGATAAAAGTTTAAGGAAAAAGAGCTAATGATGGATTCCACACCTTTCTGCACGAGGGCCTCCCTCCTCCAGAAGCCGTTGTCCCCACCCCTGCTCCGTCACCCATGCTGAATCCCCCACAAAGGAAGCCTGCTGACACTGACCTTTTGGAACAGCCTTCGAAGTGTGACTCCCAGAACTCTCCACCATCTCAACTTTTGAGCAAAGAACACTCCCTGTGAGGATATCAGCAATTCTTTGCATTCCTGAGGATAAATGTGGTTCTCCTAAATCTGAACAGGCTCATTAAAGTTGCACAAGCATGACATCTGCCCTGCTGGAGACTGGGAGAAAAAAATTGTATTGAAACCGTTGCTATAAACTTCAGAATACTGCAGCCAAATGAAGGAGTAAATGTGTGGGTTTGTGTGGGGTGTGCACATGTGGAACTTGCAAAGCTAACTTTATTGTTTCTGAACAAACCTTTTTGGCCAGAGTAGGAAATACAACTGGTTCCTATAGGAATGGATACCTCAAATCTGTGGCCTGGGGTTCTGGAGATTAAACCACTGTACCATTTTTAACATAGGCTGTGCTGTTGTGTCATCCTGGAAGAAGCCTGTATTCGTTCCCTGGGACAATAACAAAATGCTACACACTGGACGGCTCAAAGTCCAAGATTCAGGTATTGAGAAGACGGTGCTCCTCTGCAGGGGCTAGGGAAGCGGCTCCTTCCTGCCTCTCCTAACTTCTGCTCACCTTACAGTTAGTCCCCTATGTCTTCACATCCCATTCCTCTGTGCAGATCTGTGTCCACATTTCCCCTCTTTAAGGGAAAATTTTTAAGGACTCCAGTCATATTGGTAAAGCCCACCTGAGTGACCTCATTTTATTTATTTATTTTTTTATTTTTTATTTTTTTTAAAGAGAGAGAGAGAGAGAGGAGAGAGAGAGGGAGGAAAGAGAGAGAATTTAATATTTTATTTCTTAGTTTTTCGGCAGACACAACATCTTTGTTTGTATGTAGTGCTGAGGATCGAACCCGGCCTTGCACATGCTAGACGGGCGCGCTACCACTTGAGCCACATCCCCAGCCCGCAGTGACCTCATTTTAAACTTTGTTACCTCGGTAAAGATCCTGTTTCCAAATAAGGTCACATTATAAAATTCTGAAAATTAGGACTTAAACATTCCTTTCGTAGGAGGAGAGACAATTCAACCCCTAAAAGAGCCTCAGACAAGACTGAAAATGAACTGTGAGGTTAAGACTCTGGAAAACACAGTCTGCTTCCTGATGCAGGCAGTAAGTTCTTTGGGCTTGTTTCTTGCCTTTGTTTCCACATATTGAAAGTTTAGGCTGAACCACATGGAATTACCATTTTTAGACGTGGTCAGATGGTCAAATACTGACAGTTTCCCGTGGCTCAGTCTAGTAACTCAGGAATAGCCTGGTGGTACCCTACTGGTCATTCTTCCACAGCCAGAAGATCACCTGGAGTCCTGGGATGGCCACACCAGAGGAAGTCCACAGTCCTGGAAGCTGTTTCTAGTGCCCACCTGCAGCCCCCCAGCTGCAGCAAAGCCCAGCAGATGTGGGTGGGGCAGCTCAGGTGAAGCAGGAGCTCCTTCTCCCCGGAAATTCCTGGAGAGCCTAATATAAAATCTAAAGTTTTATATATACATATAAAACTTTAACTACATATATTACATATTTTTTAACAACAACTTTAAAATTTATCAAGCCCATGAATTGTACACTTGGCTATACGGGAAGCCAGAGAGGGCAGACGGGGGCCAGTCTAAAACAACCCACTCTCAAGGGAACCAATTCACTGCAAGAGACCAGCATCAATCCCTTCCAAAGGCAGTGCCCCCAGTGACCTAATTATCTCCCACTCCCCCTCTTGCCCCGACCGGCAGGACACATCAACGTGGGCAGCGAACCTAGATGGGGAGGAATGAAGGGACAAGAGACACGAAGGGTGACAGCAAGACAAAAGTTCTGATCAAGCTGCAAACTTTTATTGTTCACATAGGGGTATTTATAGGCTGGGGATGGGGGGAGCTCTCTTATCAGCAGTTGCTAGAAGTCTTCACAAGATGAGACAGCGCAGGATGTCTCAGGGAGATGGATGGCTGCAGGGTGTCTCAGGGAGATGGATGGCTGCAGGGTGTCTCCCAGGCGAGATGTCTCCTAGGGGGCTGTTTCTTGTAACTGTCAGGCTATTCTTTGAAGGAGAACTCCCTTTTGGTCCCTGGCACCCTCTCCCTTAAAGTTTTCACTCCCCTCACACACCACGCTGGGCACCCAGAGGCCAGCTTTTGGGGATACACTCAAATCTGAACCAGAGCAAAAGTTACCGGGTAAATGCTATATGTATTAAATGTTATTGTCACTATTGTTTTCTTCTACCCACATGGATTTGGAGCCAGGTCAGCATACTTTTAAATCCATGAAGTACATAAAAATGTCATATGTTTGGAGCTTAAATATTATAAACATAGCTATAGTCAAGTAACTTATATCTGGACACGATGACACACATGTAGTCCCAGTAGCTCAGGAGCCTGAGGCAGGAGGATTGCAAGTTCAAGGCCAGCCTCAGAAACTTAGTGAGACCCTTTTTCAAAATTTAAAAAAATTTTTTAAAGGGCTGGGGATGTGGCTCAGTGGTTAAGCACTGCTAGGTTCAATCCCTGGTGCCAAAAAAATAAAGAACTTATAAACCAACCGAGATCATCATAATCAACAGAAAAATGCCTCATGAATAAATACTTCAAAACATTTTCCAAGAGATTCTACCATTTCTAGTTGACCTATTCCCATTTCTGACTCCACTAGTGAAATCATGCCAGCCAGGCAGAAGAACAGGCATAGCCAAGTGGCTCTTTTTCACACACGGGCCCTTAACGATGGTATGTGAGCCTAGAGAGGAAGTACAGAGGTGAGAGGGTGTTACGGCTTGGATATGAGGTGTTCCCAAAAGCTCCTGTGCTAATGCAGGAGTGTTCAGAGGCGACATGATTATGAGAGCTGTAACCTAATCAGTCCGTCTAGTTTGAGTGGCTGACTGGGTGGTAACTATGGGCAGGGGCAGGCATAGCTAGAGGAGGTGGGGACTGGGGCATGCCCTGGGAGGATCCCATGGCCTGCAGCCCCTCTCCTTTCCGTCCTCTGCCGCTTCCGTCTGCCATGCTCTTTTGCTATGAAATGCTGCCTCACTTTGGGTCCAAAGCACTGCAGTCAGCCCACCATGAGCTAAATCTCTGAAACCAGGAGCCAAAATAAACTTTCTCCAAACTGTTTATGTCAGGTACTCTGGTCACAGCATCCCAAAACTGACCAACCCAGAAGAGGATGATGTGCACCAGGATCCTAGGGTCTTTCTAAAAGAAAAAGGAAGAGATCTCAATATTCAAAAAATTGAAACATCTTCAGAAGTACCTAGCTGGCATGGGGGAGGGGGAGGGCAGAAAGAGTGGGCAAGAGTCAGAAGAAGTTTGGGAGTCAGGGCCATGAACTGGCCCTAAACAACTTAGCAAGATCCTGTCTCGAAATAAAAAAATAAAAATAAAGGGCTGAGGATGTGGCCCCAGAACACTGTTCTTGAATGGGCCCTTAGCCCTTTCGGGGGTGGCTTTGCAGCTCATATATCAAACCAGGGATACCTTCTGTTAGGTCGGTATTCAAACCCTGAATGTTTTTTTGTTTGTTTTTGTAGTGTTTTGTTTGTGTTACTCAGATTAAACCCAGGGGCGCTCTATGCCTGAGCTATATCTTCAGCCCTTTTTATTTTGAGACATGGTCTTGCTAAATCGCCCAGGCCAGCCTCAACTTGCAATCCTCCTGCCTCAGCCTCCCAAGTAACTGGGATTACAAACACACATCACTGGTACATGCAAAATTATGAATAACACTAATGAAAATGAGGGTCTCCAAGGGCTCCCTAGAAGACATGCCAGGCCTTGAGCTGTGACAGTTCTCTGGTCTCCTGTAAGCTCTCACCCACCTGCATCCACTGCCTGCATCCACTGCCTCCATCCAGAACAGGCCATCTTGCCAAGTGATGAGGGGAAGGGAGAGAAGAGGGACAAAAGCTGAGGCATGTCAACATGGACATTAAAGATATTTTGTTTTGGCAGGGATAGGTACCAGGGATTGAACTTGGGCACTCAACCATTGAGCCACATCCCCAGCCCTGTTCTGTATTCTATTTAGAGACGGCGTCTCACTGAGTTGCTGAGCACCTTGCTATTGCTGAGGCTGGCTTTGAACTCATGAATCTCCTGCCTCAGCCTCCCGAGCTGCTGGGATTACAGGCGTGCGCCACTGCGTCCAGCTTAAAGAAAAATTTTTATGAGTAAGTATGAAGTAGAGTTAATGCATAGCCTTTGCTCAACACAGCTGTTAGTGTTGTGAGTAGTCATGAGGGGAGAAGCATTGTGAAGATTATGAAGGGGCTATATTCAGAGGCTGTGAATGAAGCAAAGAAGAATTGGCCTTTTTTTAATATTTTTTTTTAGTTGTAGTTGGACACAATACCTCTATTTCATTTATTTATTTTTATGTGGTGCTGAGGATCGAACCCAGGGCCCTGCACATACGAGGCGAGCACTCTACCGCTGAGCCACAACCCCAGCCCCAGAACACTGTTCTTGAGCAGGTCAAGTCGACTTCAGTACAAGTGACTGTGAAACGCATGATAACTATTACTTACAATGACAATTTGTTAGGCATTGTATAAGCACATAATTTGTGTCACCTCCTTTACTTCTTAGGTACTATTAGCCTCAATTTACAGGTGACTAAACTGTGTGAGGTCGAAGTAAATTTCCCAAAGTCACCCACCTGCCTGTGAAGCAGCTGCTCATTATTTCCTTTTTGCAGATGCGGAAGCTGAGGCAAACCTGGGATTTGCATCCAGGTCCTTCTAACTCCAGGTTTCAAGTTTCCAACTCTGAGACTTACTATCCCTCTGTGATCATGCGCTTGGGCACAAAAGTGTGTAATGGTGCCAGGCATGCGGCACACACCTGTAAGCAGTAGGATTGCAAGTTCAAAGCCAGCTTCAGGAACTTAGTGAGGCCATAAACAATTTAGCAAGATCCTGTCTCAAAATAAAAAAATAAAAAGAAAGGGCTGAGGATGTGGCTCAGTGGTTAAGCACCTCAGGATTCAATTCCTGATACCAAAAAAGAAAAAAAAAAGGTATAAAATGGTATAACAGAGTAAGAAGAGAGAGATCTTGGAGAACAAATGTTTCCTTTAATTTATTTATTATTTATTCATTTATTTTGAGACAGGATTTCACTCTGTTGCCCAGGCTAGCTTCAAACTTTTAGACCCAAGTGATACTCATGCCTCAGCTTCCAGAGTAGCTAGAATTACACTTGGGCACACCTCTGTGCCTAGCCTGAACATTTCCTTTATCACTGTACTCATGGCCAGAGTTTGCAAACTTGAATTTTGAAAAAAAAATGTTTTATAAAAAAAGATACCCAATTCAGAAATTTATAAAGTTTTGATAATAAAGTAAATTTTAATAGTGGTATATCATTAGTGTCCATTTTATGATCAGAAAAAAA